GTTAAATCATTTTCCTGAAGCTATTTGATAAATACTTTTTGAAAAAATATTAAAACATTTTGAATTCAATTCTTGTAAAAAATAGTAGCATAATTTCCTTCTCATATTATCAGCGGAGTTTAAATGCAAATTTTATTTTCATTTAATTTTCCATTTTTAGTTTTTATAAATATAATCTGAATTTATTTTACATTCGTAGTCCTTAACTATCAGAATTTTTATTTAAAGCTTGTAAATATAGTAGAATATGTTTAACAAAAGAATGTTTGAGTTACAGTAAAGAAAAATTAAAATTATTTTGGAAAATAAAATCGAAATGTTAAAAGATTTGCTTAACCTCAAGAAACATCTATTATTATTTAAATAAATAATTTAGCTTGCATGTGGCACTTTTTATTATTTCAAAAGTAAAAACATTAAAATGCATGCTTTTTGCATTTATGAATTATCGAAATAACTCTTAATATTTTATTCAATAATTAAATTAGCTTCAACGATTATTGGTAATAACCAAACAGCAGGAATCAAATATATCTGTTGTTGGTTAGCTGAGCTACAAAACACATAAAACATAAAATAAACATTTACTAATCACGTGACTTTGTGCTGCCATCTATATTCATTTCGAGAACGATTTCAGACAGAAACATTAGGGTTAAAAATGAACAAGAAGGGAAAACGTCTTTCATCTCAATTAAAAACTCAAGAACAAACTTTTTTCGTGATAAATCAAAACAAAGTTCAATATCAGGAGTTCGTAAAATACGTCACCTTCTTTGTCACCTCAAAACACTTTTAATCTAAACAACGGCGCGTCGTGTAATTGCAATGTATTTGTCACCTCCTAAATTTACCAGAATTTACAAAAAAGCGCTAGACATCGATTTTGCTGAAGCTCTGTTGGGAGAAGCGAAGAAAGCATCCTGGTGATTTAAAATGCATCACACTTCATAGAGCCCTCTCGGGAAATATGAGGATGAAGATTACTAGGATACACAACGGTTACGATATTTCGAAGAAAGGCTGAACAATTCAAGGACGGTTTCAGGGAAGCAAAACCAATTTTGCTGAGAGCCCTATGTCTGCGCTTGTTTCTTTTATCGTAAAGTATTTATTTTGAGTTACATATATCTATACAGATATATATTTTTTAAGCTTGAGATAGAACATATTTGTTCGTCGTGAAAGGACTCTCTTGAAATTACCTGATAATACAGTGGAGATATTGTTATGGAACTGGATGGACTTTTATTGGTTTTGAAGGTCATAAGGTCATGGATCTTATGGGTTTTTTTGCCTTTTGATAAAAAATTTAATGATGTGATATTTTTTAATATGTTTATTTCTTTTTCCAAAATATTTTTTAGAGAAAATAAAAGTATATGCTTCAGTAAGATTTATTTTCGCAGAAAAATGAGCATTTATATTTTAATAAGAGTTGGTATGGTATATTTTCAAACATAAGCAGAGAAGGTTTCGTCGGGTTGGACTAGTTTGTAATCGGGGCTCGGCTTATATTCGTACTTCATCGACTCACATTTCACGACTTCACTCTCTAAAATCAATTCTCAACCAATACTCCCAACTTAGTATCAAGAAAAAGAGACTTTAAATTGACTTTTGCTGCTTTTTAAAGTCATAAGGATCTTATAGGTTTCTGCCTTTTGATAAGAAATTTAATGGCGTGATATTTTTTAAAATATAATTTTTTTTCTCCAAAATATATTTTTAGAGAAAATAAAAGTATATGCATCAGTAAGCTTTATTTTCGTACAAAAATGAACATTTATATTTTAATAAGAGTTACGATGGTGCATTTCCAAATTGTTTCGTCGGGTTGGGCTAGTTTATAATCGGGGATCGGCTTATATTCGGACTTCGTCGACTCACATTTCACGACTTCACTCTCTAAAATCAATTCTCAACTAATACTCCCAACTTATTATCAAGAATAAGAGACTTTAAATGAACTTTTGCTGCTTTTGAAAGTCATAAGGTCATGGATCTTATAGGTTTTTGCTTTTTGATAAAAAATTAAATGGCGTGATATTTTTTAAAATATTATTTTCTTTTCAAAATATTTTTTTAGAGAAAATAAAAGTATATACATCAGTAAGATTTATTTTCGTAAAAAAATGAACATTTATATTTTAAAAAGAGTTGCGATGGTGCATTTCCAAATTGTTTCGTCGGGTTGGGCTAGTTTATAATCGGGGATCGGCTTATATTCGGACTTCGTCGATTCACACTTCACTCTCTAAAATCAATTCTCAACCAATAAACTCCCAACTTAGTATCAAAAATAAAAGGCTTTTATACCTACGATATATCAGACCTTATTCTCCTCCTGTCTTTTCTACCCTAACTGACAGATTATAGCTTAATATAGATGATATTAATAATTGCATGCCTAAACTCAATATTAAACTTTTTAAGGGTGCACAAAACAACAATGTTATGACAATTTAAATGACATTTCAACTTGGACCGACTAGAAGATTTATCCTAGAATATCCCAGATTAAGATTTATCCTAGATTATTACAGATTTATTTTAGCTGCAGCCTTTTCATTCTACGACGCCTACCTGTCACTATTCTATCAACACCAACTAATCTTTAACTTGCATCTGCATTTTATAATTTTTGTTTTAAACTTTAGCTGGGAAGCGACCCTTTCTTGAAGCTGCGGATAGCCGTGGGGGGGGGGTTAGGGTCCAAATGTTAGATCCCGTGTCCCATCACTGTTAAAAGGAATTTTCTTTTAAATTATAAAAACAATAATCACTGCTCTTTTAATTCAACTGTATTAACATTGTACTTATCAATGTATAATTATCATATACAGTTAACTATACAATTAATAACTTTATATTCTAAACGTTTAGTAAACGTTCATAATTTTTTTAAAACTATACCTGTGCATTAATTATCAGTATCATTTATAAGCTTAACTTCAGTACTATTCATAAGTGATTTTGTTTTCAGCTCTTTAAGTTTAGCTCTTAGAATTTAATCTCTGAAATTCATAATTAAAATAAACGATATAATTAATCCTGTAGTCGCCATTCGGCTTTTTCTTCATTTTTAAAAAGAATTATTGTTTCTTGTTTATAATTATTACAACAACTGATGTACCGAAATTTCAGTTTTAAAAATACGTTGTTATAGTAATAAAACTGCGCTTGTTACAGGGTCTTTAAATTTGACTGCTTGCTTAAATTTAAAGACAAATTAGCAATGTAACTAATTTTCTCTGGTCGCTATCAATCTGTTTTTTCAAACACCTTTTTTTATGTACAATTTCATTCCAATGGAAAACAACATCTTTCCTGTTTTTATGTAATTTACGATTTAAATTAACAACTGAAAAATCATTTATAATGTATATTGTATTTCCATATTGAGATTCAACAAATATTAAAGAAACTCAAACGTATTAATTATGCTTCCACCCATCTGTCTCCAATCTGAAATTATAAAAAAAAATGTTTCTTCTTATTTACACAAGCTGCAGCAAATAATGTGCCGGAAGTAAAGTTTAAAAGTTGCAGTATTCGAAATTATCACTCTTGTTATTGACCCTTTGAATTTAACAGTTTCAATAGAAGTTCAAACACGGTTTCAGAAAATTCAAAATTCAATGGGGTTTCCTCACTCAAACTTCGATAAAGCAAATACCTCTGAATTATTCATAAACCTAGAAATTAAAACATGGTCTTCTCTAAATTTCCTGAATACCTCAAACATAAAAGGATCTCCGCTCTACCGTAAAATTTCCGCCAAGGCGTTAATTAATGCAAACGATAGGAAGGAAAATCTTGAACATTCCAGAATTTCCTTTACTACCGATATGGTATAGCCAGCCCTGCATACCTATACCTTTTAAAACAGTGATATAAAGATCGAAACTTCACGTTTAATTAAAGATTAATAGGGAAAGTGCCATGATGATGAGATATCTGTTGTGATCGCCTTTACTGTAAATAAATGAAGCTGAACTTGTTGCTGTCATGTCGAGTATTGCTTAGCAACAGTAATTTCGGTTATGAGGATATTGCATCTAATATTTATTGGATTTTACAGTTTTCTATTTGCATTATCTCAAACAAGTGTACATTTTTGAAGTTTAAGAAAGTAAGTCCAAAATTCTTGAAATTACCAAGTAAGTGACAGAATATTTTAGCCTTTGGCTTATAAATTTAACATACGTATGATAAAATTGATATATTGCAGCTTGTAACACAGATGCTTAATATACAAGACAAAACTAACTTGTTAGTCATAATTTATTTGCCCTTTTTGCGGAATTTTCTTTATCAAATTCAAATATTTCAGTAGTTTTGAATGAGGCTCAGAAGATATTAATTTCAAAGCGTAGTGGCATAAACGTTCCTTTTTAACACGGTACTAAAAGGAAAATAGTACGGAATCATATAAAAGAATGAAAAAATATTGGAAATAGTGTGCTTTCATTTTTTCAAATGACTTTTTGATTACAGCGCTAACCTTCATTTTCATTTAAGAATTGTTCCTTTTTATATACACCCTTCAACAACAAACTGCTTCACAGACCATAGAACACACAAACATATAGTGCTACAACAAAACAGCAAGAATTACTTTAGGAGGTTCACTCTTATTTTTTTCAATTACTATGCCTAACGTTCTATATTGAACATGAAATTCAACTTTGAACAAAATATAATATATGTGAATATCAAGCAATAGAGCATTCACTAATGATAGAAAGATTTTTGACACAAATTAAAATTTAATTGTTCGAGTCAAATATAAGTAATGAGAATTTGAAAATTTCTTAAAACATAGCAGCAAGCTTCAGCGAAAGTCGACCGGTAAATTTAAAGCTGTTACAGCTTATACAAAAGAGCTTTATGGCAACTGATTCGTAAGACAACTAGTTTCTTTCTCCAAGTTTATATTCCTTATCAGTATTCGAAGAATTCAAGCGTATCTATTTAATTAAGTTTTTTCATTGCAGTAAGACCTCTGGATGTCCGGATCATCACACTTCAGCCTCACCTGTCAGCAGGAAAGAAAGTAACTCTGGAGTGTGAGTCTACAGGTTCGAGACCGAGAGCAGTGATGACGTGGTGGAAGGGCTCTCAGAAGATTCAGACAGGCAATGAAGTCATCTCAGACAATGGGAACCTCACCTTGAGTACTCTGTCCTTCGTCCCGACAGCAGAGGATCACGGGAAAAAGTTCACGTGCACGGCTGAGAACCCTTCCCTCCCCAATAGCCTCATTGAAGATACTAGAACCATCACTGTACATTGTAAGTATATAGCTCTTATTATATTAAAAACCTTTTGCGGCAAAAATATGCTTGCAAGTTGAACAATATTAATATCTAGAATCCATAGCTTCATTAACCCATTAACGATTGGTTAATTTTCAAGAAAACTGTCATAAAAGTGCCTATTTTCTCAAATACACGCATTTGATTGGTGCTGACATCTAGTTTAAAATAAACTAACTATCTACAATGATAAATACACAAATGGGTGACCTTTGTGCTAAAATACAAACTAAGGTAAACAACGTTTAGGAGCACAAAAATATTTATAAATGCAGACAGCTGTTTCGGATGCTCAAAGGGCAACCTTCATCAGTGCAACAGAAAGAAATCAGAGAAAACAGGGTAAATATAAAGAAAGGTGACGTCACAAGGGGGTTAGAGCAACGGCCAATAGGAGGGTTGTTCTTCAATTATTGATTTAGATTTTTATGAGTCCTATAATATTTTCAAAAATTCCAAACTGTTGGTCAATGACCTATCCAGCATTCCTTGTCTTTCTCCTGTTTGGAAATCTATGATTAAACCTAACTAAACCCCCCTTTTTTGCTCCTTGCTTCCCATTCGTCGTCATCCATTCTCCCTTCCCTCCTATTGGCTGTTGCTCTAACCCCCTCGTGACGTTACCTTTCTTTATATTTACTCTGTTTTCTCTCATTTTTTCCTGTTTTCCATTCATATTTTTTTTCTGGCAAAACTTAGCACGAAATTCTTCAGCGATGCTAAAGATTGCAATACCTCCAACTTCAAGCAAATACTTAATTTAGAACTCATTAAGGAAAACAGTAATCATAGTCCACTAACGGCATTCCTATTATCAGACTGCATAATTTCAAAATTATATAAAAAATAGGACACAAACACACACAGTATATCCACTGGACTATGGCAAACCCGGTGAAGGAGTAACTCTGAAAAGGGTCCGATCCGGGCAAGCCATAGCTCCACTAAATATAGTGCAGTGAGCAACCAGGAACGAGTGGTGATCTACCAGGACGACCGGGTCACTGTTTTAGCAGAGACATATCATTATTTAAGACATATATTGAATAACATAAACTTGTAAATAGTTATGTAAATACTTTGTATATATATCTTATTTTTAAACTTAATGTTATTATGTATTATCAATTTATGTTATCATATCCAATTGTTAGTTCTTATCTTTTCCTGTAATTCTTATTATTGTTTTAACGATGGGGGAATTCCCCCCTATATTTTGTATAATATAAGACTAATATATTCCTATGACCTGAGAGCATAAGGTAAACTAGTTTAGAGGAATCGGTTAGTGGCGCTTCGAGCCAAACACCGAGATACAACCCATATCAAGCATCAAGCATTTTTTTCTGTTGCACTGATGAAGGTTGCCCTTTGAGCATCCGAAACAGCTGTCTGCATTTATAAATATTTTTGTGCTCCAAAACGTTGTTTACCTTAGTTTGCATCTACAATGACCTTAAAAATATCCTGGTACTGCCATCTGGTGTGTAAAATGAGAAATGAAATGGTTTCCGGGGAAAAGAAATGAACTAGTTTTATTCTTATTGGCGCGTTACTACTGAAAACTCCAACCCGGAAATTTCACGGGAGCAAGAAATAGAGGAATAAACCTCACCCCACCATTTTCACGGGAGCGAGAAGGAAGGGGTTAAGAAGATAACTTGAACCTTGCAGATGATAATTAATCCTCATCACGTCTAATTGCACAATATCATGATTCAAATATCATTATAGTTTAGCTACTGTTAGCTTTTATACCTTAGACAAACGATAATGAAAACGTAAGCAATACTTTCTATACACTGCAGTGCCTATGAATTAAAGTCATATCCTTGAACTATAGCCATGTTATTCTGTGGAAATTATGTAGCTATGTGCCTCATTAATGATGGTGGTAAGGGAATCTATAGCAAATATGGCTGTTGATAATGAATCGATTCAACAACCAATCAAAGGCGTCTAATTCAAACCTTTGAATTAGACGCCTTTGATTCCGTATAAATAGTGGGCACTCGACGCAAAGGTCAGCAGATTTTCGAGGTCGTGAATTTTACATTATACCCAGAAGACTCCAATAGTGAGAGAAGGGAAAGACTTAGAGATCGCGCAAGGACGAAAGTTATTTAAAATTTAAGACTGTTTTTCGCTGGGTGTTTAGTCGCATTAAGTTGTATTTTTTGCGAATAATATGCTGTTTTCATAACTGATGTGAGTTTGCATATCAAATTTAACCTATCAGGTTCGCTAACCGTTAGGTCACATTTAACCTATCTTTTGCCAGCGAAATCCATTTTTATTCCGAAAATAACGCAAAACGTCAAGAAAAGCTACAGAAAAAAATGAACAGCGCTTGTGCTCTAATTTTTTAATATTTAGAAATTTACTTCAATGCTGCATCATCTGGGCTCATAAAAATTTTCAAAAAGGCGAAAAAGACATTGATTTTGATAAATTTCTTCCAGGAGAGAAAATTTAACCAAATTGGAGATTTTTTTAAAAAAATAACTTATAAAACATTCTAGTTATTTGACGTTTTCGAAGCGCAGATAATTCTTAACAGCAACAGTGCGTATAGAGTTTAACATTATAGCGTTGCTTCAAGTCTAAAACCACTAAACTAGGGGTTTTTAATTTTCCTTGGCAAAAGATCTTCGAAAAACCTTGTTAACGGATTCCAGTAGAGACTATTCAGTATATTTTATGTAGATATCAAAGTCACACATTTGATCATACTACCACTCATTTCTAAACAACAACCACAGCATTAGCTATACAGAGTGCCCCGGAATTTCATGCGTTAACTTAAAGGAGAGGTAGGGCACGTCATAAAGTAAGGATTGATCATTGCATAGTAAACAGCTGGGGGCACTTCCTTTTATAAAGTGTCCGTTTGTGCCACTTGAAGCTTGCCGGAGCTTCTATCAATCTAAACTATTTTAATTTTATATTTTCCAATAATTGTTATTGAAAATTACATTCAAATTGGCCCAGGTTCATCTACTTTATCGTAATTTATTAACTTGGCATGTAACTTACGAAATTAATCAAATTATTAAATTTCATCAAAACAGCCCATTTCATCGTTCTTAAAAAGCAACTTTTGACAGTAAAGTATAGGAAACATAAAACTAAGATATTTTTGTAATTTAGACGTTTCTAGTCAAGATTTACATGCTAATACATTAAAGTACCACGTCTCAAGTGTCTATCTGAATCCTCATAATCCCATCAACCTTCCCGTCAAGCTTACACACGAAGTTCTCTCTGACATTCTTTTTTTTTTATTACTCTACAATGAAAACCAAAAGTCTTGTTTTAATTGGAACTAATCACAACAATTGCTACAATTAGTATTAATTTCAGTCTGATGTGAAACAAGTTTCATAAACTGAAAAGATTCTTAAAAAAGATACATAAACATAAATTTTACGAAGTTTTTCTTCCCCAAAGAAAGTTAATACTTCGTAATATAACTATGTTTTAATTACTTCTCATAATTAATGAAAGGCAATTTACTTACAAACTCAACAAAGTAATTCAACAAACAAACGAGCCATGGAAACATTGTTTATGATCAAAAATTCATACACTACATTTTAATTTCTTTATGGTATAAGCCGTTTCTGGATATTTCGCTCACTTAACTTTTCGTTTTTCTTTGCAAAAAAAATTGAATTATTACTCATTATTATTACAAATTAATTTATTTATCGATCAATTAATTAATTTATTTACTAACGCCTCAGGTCTGGTAGGCACAGAGTTAATATTTATCCATAAAATATGGAAAAAATAGCTTTTAAAATACACAAAACATTAAGTATACAAAATAGGATTTTTTAAAATAAATATTGATTAGATATTATGATTGAAATTTTGGAGGGCAAGTACAAAATTAAGTGAAGTTTGCTATTAAATTCGGATAGTCAAAAAATTATTTTAGAAAAATCAGTCAAAATTAATGAATTTAGTCATCAATCATTATTCAAAAAAATGCATTAAGATGAATAATGACCAAATTTGCATTTGAATTCAGAATGAATTTTCGTAACAATATTCAGAATAAATTTTAAATTACCACATTTCGTCGTTACTAATTTTTTCTTGAATGATTACAAAGGATGCCCATAGGACAAAGGAGGCATATTAAAAAATTAACACATGATTGGCACAATTGTGGCCTTCAATGCAGTTTTGATGGCAATGTAGTTATTTCATAAAATAGTTTAAAATCTGTTTTACATTTTTTTTCTGCTGTGGGTGAACCATGAATGCATAATCACATAATAAAGAAAATTTAATGATTTCCAGAACGGAAAAATGGCATAAATCAGTTATTTATGCTCTAAATTTTAATTCGTTCTCAGATACTTCATTTGTTATGTGTGTGTCCTATCCAGATTAATTTAGTTAAGTAGAGAAAAAAAATTAGAGATTAACCTATTAGAACAATGCAAGTTGTCAGATATTTTTGTACTAATTTATTTCATTACTTTTAAGAAAAGGTATTTAACCGATAATATATTTTTGAAAACTGAAATATTATTGAATTGAAGTTTGTTTTTCTAACACTATACATGTGTCGAAATATCCAAACTTGAAATTTACAATAACAGCGGGTTTGGCGAAGATAGATCTTTAAATCAAAATTATTTAAGGATATCTAATTTAACAACTTCCAAAGGATACCACAATAAACATTCAAGATTTCAGAGCATTGCAAACATTTCCCTCATACGAAAGAATAATTACTTGTTTATATACTAAAGATACTTTCGAACACTACATATGAACATCTCTTATTACCGAAATTCGTAATTATAACTACCTCCACAAAGAGTGCCGAGGAATAATATGTAACTCAAATTATAAATGCAAAAAATAAAACTACTTGGATGAAAAATGATGATTAAATTCCCTTTATCGCTAAGCATCGTCGAGTAATTATTGATTCTTTCTCTAAATTAGCAAACTGT